CAAAACTAGTAAAAAAGGCTAAGAATTAAAGCTAGTACATGGATATATGCTTACAATATCTCTTCCCTTTGGCAATGTTTTGGAATTAAAGATCTCAAATCGCATGTCCTAAGAAACACTACACAAAAGGAAAGAACTTTCAAATCACATCCTCAACGCATGCATGCAAAATATATGATTATTTGCACGAATCAAAACACACATGCATATTGAAAATTTGAAAACAAAAAAATGTGCCGCATGAATATCATTAAGCCTGAACTGTACTTCTCAGAGCGCAAAATTTAAATCTTAAAAGCTTTCAACATGTTCTATCTGTTGGGGTAAAGTTAAAATGGAGACAACATTAGCATTAAACGTATGAATCAACTGACACGAAGTTGTACCAAAGACAGTATTGCTTTTAATATAAAATAATAAAGTGGTTTAAACCCAAAAAAAAATAAAAAAAATCAAACGTTGCTTAAGCTTTGATGTGATTATTAAAGTTGATGACAGAAATTATACTTGGTATATATCTCTTTTTTCATAGTCCTTGACTTCACTTCCATATCAGAACTTTGTCCATGTTGCACACGCATTACAACTATATAGACCAACTAGACTGGATGCAAATCTTGCTTCAACTGAACCAAGTTTTGCTACATTTGTTCTAGATTTCTAGGTCTTTTATAACAAGCTGGTTTCTACTTTATTAAATTCAGCCTATTCTTCAGCTAACTGTTTAGGTGATTAAACTGTAAGTCTCCTAGTGTGGAAATAAAAAATCAGCATAGGATATAGGATGGGATCTAGCACACGTAGGTATTCATTCATGGCTTGGTTTTCTTAAAGAGGTAAATCTGAGACTCTTGTTGGTTGTACTTTCTCCTGCAGAGGTTGGTTTTGGATGCAGATACTCTCTATCACTTCTTGCCAGATATCTGCTATTTGCAAATTAAGCAAAGCATTTGCACTACCTTGGAATTTCCTCTGCCCTTCGTTGTAATTAATTATTCACATACCCTTGAAACAAAACAGTTATACACACATTGTAAAATCTATGTAGACCAAGAAAAAAAAAAAAAACTTTAACCAACATGTATATGATATATAACTTTCCCTTATACTTGACCAAATTTATACCTTCTTTGCCAGCTATGACCCAAATTGTTTTCTGTAAATCTCATTCTTTTTTCCTATTTTAAATAGATATGATGGGTGCATTCGTAGCTTAGGACAAGCCAAGTTCAGGAGGATGCCCTGTTTTGAGGTTATTAAGGAGATTTTGATGTACCAGAACTCGAGTGTGTGAATGGCAGCAGAGGCAAACCCAATTGAAATTAACCAAAATAACCCTCCCTTGATTACACTATTAGACGTCAGAAATAGTTAAATGAAGTCAACAAAAATAAAACCAACCCAAATGAAACGCAGACTTAAAAAAGAAAGTAAGAGAGAAAAAATCAACACAACACTACCAAGAGACCATTCCACGTTACAATACAACCTCCTTTCTTCTCAGACAGGTCAGTTCCTCACGCTTCGCTTGCTTTCTCTCTCTTCTCTTTCCAAACACTGAAATCGTGTCTCTCGTCTTGCCATACTCATTTTCTTGAAACCCAAACCCTACCCATCTCTCCCTCGCCACCCTCATGACCCTTTCTCTTCCTCTGAAGCTTCAAGGTTTAGCGGACTCTGCCGTTTGTTTCGTTTAAAAACTCATTGAAGAGTTTCACTTTTTGACCCTTTTTCTTTTTATTTCTCCCATAAATTGAGAATTTTTTGGTACCCGCATGCAGATTTTGTGGTTGTGAATCTCTAATTTTTGTTTTTGTGTGTCGTAGGGTATTTCACGGGGTCATTTTATGGAGCTTTTTTCATACGCAAGAACTGGGGTTTCAGGATTTTTGGTTGAATATTAATTTAAAGAGATTAGTTGGTGATCCACTTACAAAGTTGCAATATTTGTGCTGAATGATGTCTCACCAACAAAACCAAAACCTACCTGCTGCTCCGCAATCCCTGATACAACAAACAGGTTTCGTAGCTGGTGTTAAACCCTTCTCAATAAGGTACTGATGTGCGTGAAATAGTTATCATAAACATTCCTATGCACTTCAATTCATGAGTGAGGTTTACTTTTTTTCCTTTAATGTTATGCCGTCCATTATTGCATGTTCTATTTTTAGATTGATCTCTTCAATTGCATTATGTTGAGCTTACAAGGTGTGAAGCACACGTTGATTGTAGGTTATTTATCCTCTTTCCAGCACAAGTACACAACTTAAGCTTATCATTATTCTCTGTTCATCAACTTCTTTTCTTACAGCCTTTAACTTTTTTGCATTTCCCCTTTATCAAAACTGTGTTAGATTTTGGAAGGTTTGTTTAAGGTTAGTTTAAGTTTAGTGGTTGACAAACACAAGAGGAAATAGACAAGAAATGACTATTTTTCTTCATCATCGCTGATAGATTATAAATTATGTTGCAGACAGTATGTTCTTGCTTCTCGTCACATAAATTTCCTTCAAAACTGGCCATTTCATGAGAACCACTTGCAAGTGTGTCTTAAACATGGTCTCGGGGAGAAGGAGGTGTTCCCACCACTTGGACGCCGAACTTCACTTACTGAACCACACAAAGATAGTCCCAACTTGATGCATTCATCAAATGATAATAATAATAATAATAATAATTATAATAATAATAAAGAAGGTGATTCTTGCAAAGCTGAAGTGCCAAATCTCAATGATTACCACCCACAAAATATTAAAAATGAGTGTGACTACAAAGTCAGCAACCACCCTTCATCACATGAAGAGGGAAATCAGCATAACTGCAGTCATATTTCTGCCAATTTATCTCACCCAGCATACACATGTAGCCTCCCAAGTTCAACTCATGCTCATAATAGAAGTCCACTACTGCCTCCATCCAAAGCAGTGAAAGATAAATGTAGGAGGCGTAAAGGGAGATGCAAGAAACGGTCCATGGTGGATATTTTAGCCGTGGCACGACACAGTACTTTAGAGGAGATCCATATGATGAACAAGTTCTATTATGCTGAAACTGTGATTGAAGGATGTCAGCAAACGGTGCCTTGTGAAAATATTTCCAGGTCTGAGCTAGCGGGGGAGGATTCATGTAGAAAAGGTGAGAGTGAAGACGATGGTTTAGCTAATATTGATATGGCACCAAAGGGGCCACTGCTTCTTAAGTTCAAGCTCCATGAATGTAATGTAAATAGGAATTGCAGAACATAAATAACTTCTGTCCATCTTTATGCAGTGTTCTTATTATTGTTATTCATGCTAGAATTTTCTCTGATTGAATTTTTTAAAATGTTAGGAGATAAATTCTTACCTTGCTAGTTGCCTCCTAACTCTTACCTATGTTGATTGTATGTGTTGCATTGCATAATCTAAGAAATAGAAAGTATTGTTTGGGTTGTGTATGAGTGAGAGTATAAAGCGAAAAATAGCAAGAAAACAAAAATATGTGGGAAGAAGGGAACTCCTAATATAGTTGGTAGATTAATTAGTATAAAATCAGAACTGTGATTAAGGTGCAGGCAGGCAGGCACATAAATAACACATTGGAAAATTTGTGGTTGACCAACTTGGAAAAGCTATATATTCCTTAGTGTTTGATTTGACATCTTCATCATTTCTCTTCCCTTTAATGCAATTACCTTATATTCAAGTTCTATATTTAAACAGTAATGTGTATTTAAAAAAAATTGTTTTTAAAATTATATATATATATATATATATATATATATATATATGTAAGATAATCAAATTACATTTAACATTATTTGATATATGTCTTATTTATATAAATTAAAATGTATCTTTTGTATCATTGTTTAATTTTAGTAAATAATTGACATATATAATCATATAATAATATAAATTATAATTTAATAATTAGATCAATAAAAATATTTTATTATATAAAATTAAGTTATTGGTGATTTAACGTTTGATATTTTAAGGTTTTTTTAGATGAGATCATTTTTTGTAATATAAGTTTTTGTATTATTTTGTAATAAGTTTTTTTTTATACTGAGCTTATATGTTTTTGTTAGGGTTTTATTAAGTTGTGACTTGTAAATATTCTTCTTGATATATAGTCATTTTATTAAGCATAAAAAATTCAGTACAAGAAATTTTAATGTTAAAGATATGTAGAAATATAAATAAAATTATCAAGTAAAAATAAATTTACCTGTCTCGAAAAAAAAAACTAATAAATGTAATAAAAGTTGTTATATTCAACATCAGACATTTAAAATTTATAAAATAATATTTTCAGAAAAAATAATCCTCTATTAATTTAAATTATTTTAAATCACATATTTACTATACATTTAATTGGAAAATTTGAAACATGAATAACTAAAAGAAAAGTGTAAATTCCTTTTTAATTTATGAAAAAAAGGCATTCACGGTGTAAAAACATTATTATTCAATTACAAATTATTAGTATAATATTTTTTATTGTAATAAACTTAAACACGACATCAATGGTGATTTTTAATTAATTGACAATGAAAAAAATTACATTTACGATACATAACCCATAACTCATCAATTTAATATTCAAAGAAATTTAATTAAATTATTTTTATGTATAAATTTATTATGAATTTTATGTATCTATGTTTTTACGCTTAAAAGCATTAACACATAAATGTTTTCAACAACTATCGCTATTATACTAGAAAAATTATGATACTTCTATAATTATATCATCGCGTACAAAAATTGTTTTTACAACGCTTTATTTATAAGATATTTTTTTTTTGGGGGCAAAGTAAATCTAACTTTTGTTGAGATAAAAATTCGATTGATTATATTCGGTGAATATTTTTAATTTATTTTTTCATCTAAAACTTTATTTTTTAATTTTTTTTATAGAGTTTAGTTGTAATTAAATAAGCTATATATTGATATTTTAGTATTATTTACTTTTACTCAAATTGATATACAACTTTTTTTTATTTTGAGAATTAATTGATTATTTTTTTAAATATAAAATACTTAATCTTAAAATAAAATAAAATTAAAAGGAACTTACGTGGGACCGAGGAGATGCGAAATATACATGGAAAGATTCGAAACGGTGAGAGTCAACATGGTTGGTCGATGTAAGATGTTGTAATGTAATGCATATGCATTCTGTTCGTGGATTCGCGTCTCCCATTCCCAACTCATCACTTTCACTTTCACCAACCACCATGGCCATGCCTTCTCCCAACTCACTCCGAGTTGCAGCGGCCCAATGACCTCCGTCAGCGACCTCGCCGCCAATTTCGCCACCTGCTCTCGCCTCGTCAAAGTTTTCTTCTTTCCATCTTTTCTTTTCTGGGTTCCCTTTATTTTCTCTCATATTTTCCTCCTCTATTCTATATCCTCCTTTTTCTGTTTTTCTTTTGAATTATTGTTATTATACTGTTGATTGATTGACAGTGCTGTGTATTGGGTTTGGTGTGCAAAGGAAGCAGCTTTGTTTTGGGTATATATTGTTTAATACATAAGCCAGGGCAAAACAAATTCCAAAGGCAATTTGCTTTGTAATGGAAGATATAGAGAAGAGTCAGAGGTATCTGTGTTTTGGGCCTGGGCTGCTAATTTCAGTGGCTATGCAACAGTGACAAAGTTCTGATGTAGAAGTGAAGAGAAGGAAAGAAAAGAAAATGGAGAATATGTACTAAATGTAATTGATGTTGTATTTGTTCAAAATTAGTATAACGTCTTTTACTGTGTGAGTGTGATCGATGTCAAGTTTATTAGTTTCCTTTGTTATTGCTGGGTGTCATGTGTGTTGTGATAAATGAAAAAGTTACATCTCAGTTAATATATATAGAAAGGTGGTGAACGTATAAAGATAATCTCATAACTGCATGACGAAGTGAATTGAACACGATGCATAAAGAAACAGTGAAGCATTGTAGTACATGAAATACTAGAGAAACTCTCTTTCTACACATATATACATAGCCACAAAAGCATTACACTAGTGTTTTCTCCAAATTAAAACTTTTCTCCTACACCAGATTCTAAATGCATTTCTCAACATTTTGCAACACTGGGCATCATCATAACACAACTAAAATTTATATCAGAAAACAATAAGTAAATCATAATGAAAAAAATAATAATGGAAATCATCATCACAGCAGAATCTTTAACTAATGAAATACTATAATAGTCATAAAAAGCATGCATTAACCCTTCCAATATATATGTAACTCCAACATAAAATTCTATAGAAACTAATGGATTGGAATGGTTTTAAGGCACACTTATTTACATTTGGATCCAGCCAATATTGCTGCAGCAAAACCTAAAATAATATTACTACCAGTTCGTCATTTCCTTTAAATCATCCATATAAACCAATTGGTTTTGTCCCAATTCGTATTACTATATATAGATTATCAGTGCACGAATCTAATCAGTAATACGAGAAATATATATATATATATATATATATATATATATATATATATATATATATATATATATATATATATCAGGTGACAGGGAAGACATGGAAGGATTTGAACAAAGCATAAACTCAATCTCACAAATTTTGAAATTAATGCAATGCTGCGGATGAGTTGTGCTGATTCTAAAATCAGTTTTAGAAACAAAATAACAAGAATTTTTTTTTTCATTGATTATATAAAGAAATACATATGTGATCATAGGTGTGTGTGATTATATATATCATTAATTTTTCGTTAACCTTTTTTATCCGACCATTACAAAATATTTCTCCTGTATATGAGGATTAGGAAAATAATAATAAGTATCTATTTAAATTTTTATTTGAAATTATTTTATGTAATTTATATATTTATAAAGATAACAAATAATAAATGATTGGATTTAAAATAAACAAATTATTTTTATAAAAACTATTAGCAGTTTACCCCAAATTTAGTAATAAATTTGGAATTAAGATATTTCAATGTAAAAGGAGCTTGAGGATTAATTACAACAAAGTTAAATTTGGAGATACTTATTTTTAAAAGGAGTAAATATTTAAAATAATTAGGACGAAATTATATTTAAAATATATATTTATATATAAAAAAAAGTTTGAAGAGTTTTAAACTTGTATTTGTTTGGATCACTCTGTATTATGTTTGGTGACGCGAATTATAGTTGATTTGTATAAAAAATAGTAATAGATCGATAAGACACTAACCTTCTCATTTATCAATAAAATGTTGAAAAAATCATGTATAATAGAAACAAAGTTATTTCTATTATCAGACATTGATTCATATAATAGATTATGAAAAATAATAAGTAAGGTCGTATATTTGATTTTTATATTAATATTTTTTAATAAATTATATATATATATATATATATATATATTATCAAATTATAAATATTTATATTTATTTTATATTAAACTTAAATTGATAAATTTTATAAAAACTAATTTTTTTAGTTAAAATTAATTTATTCTTAAAATAATTATCAAAATTATCTTATATACCATTTTATTTCTTATAAAAATTAAATCTATTATATACAATTTAATAAGTATAAATAAAATTTGCATGTAAGTATTTAATCAATTTAATTATTTAAAGAAACATATTTTTTTATGAATAACATGATTTAATTAAAAATATTAAAAAACTAATATGCTTAATAATTCATAATTTATTTTATCATAATTCATCAAAAACATTTTTTAATTAAACTATACTTTTAATTTATTATAAAAAACATATAAAAAATAATATAGTCTTTTCTTAATAGATTATCTATTTAAATAATATGTTAATTAATATAAATTTTAAAAATAATTTAATTTTAATATATATTTATATATTATTGAAAATATATAATTTATATAATTTAAACTAAATATTAAGTAGGTATATATAATAGTATATAAAATTAATTTATAAAAAATAAATTATATTATTTATTTATTTAAAAAGATAATAATGTAATAATAGTTAACTTATTTATTATATTAATATTTATTTATAATTATATATATATATATATATATATATATATATATTAACCCATCTTATTAAATAATTATTCGGTATTGATTCATATATATCTCAATTTCAATTTATATTTTTTTATTAAATTATGCAAAAGATATTTTGTTTCTATCTTATTATTTAATAATTTTAACCATGAAATAAATCTTATTTTTTATTGTATTTTTACTATTTTTTTCATTTTTTATTATTTTTCTTTCAATCCGAAAACATTACTTTTATTCTATTTCTCCTCTTTTTCCCTCTCTTGGATTTCCTCAACAATCAAAACACAAGCTAAGTGTTATTTTTATTTATTTATTGTATGTGTTGCCACACTAAGGTTGTTTCTTCTGCGCTCTTATACTTTCTTTTTGCATTCCTATATTCATAAAAAATAACACTATTGCCTTTAATGTATATAGATTTTGAAAAGGTTATTTTGGAAAATATTCATATTATAACCTTTTTGAAAATGTTTTGAATTCAGTATTCTAAAAATATATTATGGAAAGTTGATCATGGAATGTTTCTTAAAAGTTTTTAAAAAGGTCTGGAATTGTTTTTGAAAAAGTAATTTTAAAAAAATAATCCTAAAACAAATGTCAGATTGTTAAATCCGTAATATATATATTTTCAGAAAACATAATAAGAATAAGTTATGGATTATTAATCTTAAATATATTTTTATAAAACACAATTTAAAAATAAATTATAGATTAATCTATTCAGTATCTCATTCTTAAATTGTGTTTTTATAATCACTAGTGGAAAAATATGATTCTATGACGACATTTTATCACGGTTGTAATCCACCCGTCATAGTATATAGGGCGGTGACATTTTTGTAATAATATTATGAAATTTTTATGTCGGTTGTTATGTAACCGACATGGTATGTGGGCAAATTCACTTTTTATGTCGGTTAAATTTTAACCGACATAAAAGTACTTTCTATGTCGGTTGAAATTTAACCGACATAGAAAATGTATATTAAATTAAACAAAATTAAATATATAAGTATATAAATATTTATATATCAAAATATATAAATATATTTGTATTTATATATTTTGTATATAAATATAATTTATTTGTAAGTTATGTATCGAAATTCGTAGTAGTTTAGTGGTTGGAGTATCAATCTCTAACTCTAAGATGCTTGGGTTCGAATCTCCGACAAATATCTTAAATAGATAATAAAATAATATATTATAAAGTATAATAAAAATATAATATGAATAAATAAATAAATATCGTACCATAAATAAATATCGTACTAGTATAGTGGTAATTCTAGACTCTAATGTTCGGGTTCGAATCCTATCGATGACAATTTTCAGTAAAAAACCCATTACTTGTCTATGTCGGTTCATCACAACCGACATAAAAAGCCTTTTTTGCAATGTAACGTGAATTTAAGCATCTAAAACATCATAAATACAAATCCAATATAATGTAATTGTGTTTTTCCATGCGTTTGTCTAACTGTTCTTCAAGTTTGTGAATTATGTCCTCCCAAACCAAACAGAATCATGATGACCAAAACAAAAATCTCAAAATTGTATTAATTTGTAAAATAGCAGAACATGATGAAGCTTAAACTTGTAGTTTTGCAGGGTGGGGTATAAAATATTTTGTGTTTGATGATAAGTAGATATTTATCATTATTTATATATATTTATTTAAAATAGTTAATTTAAACAGTAAATAATTTATTTATTATTGTGAATTAAAACATTGAATCTAAATTAAATAAACTAAAAACATTTAAGAAAGAGTGATGATATAGAGAGTATGTGTGCAGTCCTTGTGTGAGAAGTGAATGGAAAGAATCATCCTCTTTTTCTCCGCAATTCATGGCCATTGCCTCCTCTCTCTCTCTCCCTTTCAATGGACCAATTAACATTCTAACATTCTTTTTGTTAATGGCTCCTAAAATTTAATATTTCACACCTTCAAAATCATTTGGTCCTTTTCTTATGTTCATAATAATTAATGTGAAAAATTATTCTTCTTGCAGCTGGTGCATGATGTCCATAATCATTCTTCCCCTTTCTTCTGCAATTTTTCTCTTCATCTGCTTCCAGTTTCAAATATTTTTTCTTTTCAAATCATAATCACAACCCTGAATATTTTACTGTAAATTAATTGGATTATACTGAATTCTTATTTTTATTTTTATCTTATAATCCAGAAAGCTAAAAAGAGGGCCCGCAGAGACAAATATTAAATAATATTTTCTCAGCATCATTATCATGATTAATTTAATTCTTATCTACAAAAAGGTTCTAATAATGTCTTTTATGAGTTGCGGATTCAGACTTTGGACCTTTATAAAAGAAAATACACAATGTATTGTATTATACAAATTTTGAACTTTCATGTAAAATGTTAACAAATATTTTGCTTACTTTCACTTTCATTTTTTGCTTATTTTTTTTATTGGGTAATTTTGTAAGATTTTGGACTATTAATATGTTTAGTTTATTTTACAATTTTAATTATTTAATAATAATAAAAATTCAATACTTAAATAAATTTAACACTAAATTAATTATTCATATGTTTTATATATTTCAATTAAATTTATCTATTTAAATTAATTTCATAAACCTTTTTTCTTTTACCGTTTTTTGGGCCAACAATTTTCCTACATATTTTTGATAAAACATATTTTATCATCTAATAACATGTATTAATATCGTAAACAACAAACCAATTAATTTTATTTAAGGTCAATGTTCCAATTTTATTTTAATACTTATTCGTAGTTTTTTTTTTATAAACTTATTCGAAATCATTAAATTTTAATAAATGGGTACTTTGATTTTCCTATTTAATCAAAATAATTTTACGTAATCAATAATGTATCCAGATTGATCTTTTTAATGAATTATTGGTATAAAAATTTCGGCATTAATAGTGTATCTACGTTGAACTTCTTATAAAAAATTCCTTAAAAAATAATTTAATTTTGATACATTACAAATATACATATTTTAATAATTAAATAAAATGTATTTTCAATATACAAGTTTCTACATTATAGAGTGAATTATATCAATTATTTTTATTTCAATTGATCAAATTATATTTGTGTATAATATTTAGACTGTTACACTTAAGTGGATATAATTACATCAAAATTGTTAACTATTTGAATTTGATTTCAACTAAGTAATTATTTCTATATCAATTCATCTCATTTTAATTGTTATTATACTCGTAGATAGAGCTATACCATAACTATCCGTTATGAATTTTACTAATAATCTATCGTTCAATCGTTATTATTGAAATCAACAAATTTATTGGATTTAATTGGATAATAATATAAACAATTTTGGACAATAATATACAAACAATTATTAAGGGGATATAATAGCATATATTTAATTATTTTTCTAATAATTTCATATTTCAATTCATTTAATTTGTTATTATTTCCTTTGGTAAAAAAAATCAAAGATGCATTATCAAGTTTTTTAATGAAAAATACATATGATTTATATATATATATATATATATATATATATATATATATAATATATATATATGTGAAAATTGAAAATATTGAATTAACATAAAGGAAAGAAAAATAAAAATAAATAAAAATAGATAAAAAGATAATAAAATAAACGTACTATTTTTTAGAATCATTAATTATCTTTATAATCTGTATCAAATCCGTGGTATAATTTATCTTCTAACATAATTATATATTAAAAAACCCAGATCGATCGTCCTAGAACTTGATAAATAAATTAATTGATGTTCGGACAAAAATACGTTCGACTTAGTTTAATTCGGTAAAATAAAGTAAAAATTTGGTTATTTTTTCAATTTATTATTTTAAAAAAAATGATGTTATTAAAACAATTATTTTATATTAACTACATTATTATAATGATATTTTGAAAATCTGAACTGTGAAATTACATTATTTAAAAATTTATTCGTTCTGTATATAATAAAAAAAATTAAAATTTAGGTTTAAATTTCAAATTATATTAATATATAAATTTTTAATTATAAATAAAGTCAATGAATAATTTAACCGTTTGACCGGAGGGATAAGTATCCCCTTTCACTCATAAATAACCAAAAAATTATTAGGGCAGTACTATCATTCATGATGCAGTTGCGTGTAAATTGCATGCCGTGTTTGTATCAAATAACTTGTCAAAGAATATAAATTAAAAAGTTAAACTAGAAGTGTGGGTCCCACACTCAGTCTTTTGAAACGACAGTGGTAGGCTGCGCATGATCCAACAAAAGAACGCTCCAATCCTCCACCGCATATTCCGCGCGGCATACCAAGCTTTTGAATTTATTTTTATTCCCCTTTTGCCCTTTCCCTTTTCCCAATATTCCCACCCTCTCACTCACTCACTGCAACACTCACTCCTGCAAGTTGAGAAAGAAAAAGAGAGATTGTTGTTAGTTTTTGCTCTTCACACTTGTAATCATCTCACCTCATTATCAATCATTAAATCCCTTCTTTAAGGTAAAATCATTCCAATTCCATTTTTCAATTTCACTTTCTCGTAACATTTTTCATTCCATTCATATTTTCGGTTATCATTTCTGAGTCAAACCCCTTCTCTCCCTCTTTAATTATTATGATTATTATTTTTTAAATTTTTGTAGACTTCACAATTCCATCTCTGCTGCATTTCATTTTCGGATTTCTCTTCCCAATCTTCTTCTTACATTTTTTTACCGTTTGAAACCTTGTGAGTCTCTCTCACTCTCTCTCTTTATTTTTATTCTTTTTGTTCTGTTTGTGTCTCCTGGGAAAGTTGAGCAAGGACAGTTAGAATTGGAAAAGTTCGTTTCTCTTTTTCTTCCCCTCACTCACAGGTTAAAAAAGCCCTGAATTTCAGGTTTTCTTTCTTTTAGGGTATAGCAAGTTGGGTTTTGTAGAACAAGGAAACTGATCACACTAGTGTTTCGTTCCTTTCTTTTGCTTTCCTTATTTTTAGTAATCTATAACTAAATTGGATGATTTTAGGGTGTGGGTCTGCGATAGTTCGTTTTCTTTTGTATGATTTCTGCTGTTGTAATTGTTTACTTGATGGAATTAATCAATAATTAGAGCATGTTTGTCGTAATCGTCCAAGAAACTGGGTTTTGGATGTAACAGATAACGGTGGGGTTGAGGATAGTGTGGTCTTTTCATTCATTGCATGAGCTTGGTTATTGGTTCGATGGATTCTTACTAATTAGCTATTAAATTAATGCGTGGTCGTATCCGTTTTGTGTTTTGATATCGTTTGTTTAATTTTTAATTTTTAATTTTCAAAAGTGAACGTTGTTGAAATCAAATAATCGCTGCTTCTCTTTGATCTCACGTGTTTCTGCTACTCCTTAGTGTGATCTTCTTCTCTCTTCTTTCTTCTGTTTTGTTTGCTTTTCCAATTGGTGGGTTTGCAACACTGGTATGTATAATCTTGTTTTACTTTTTTTTTTTTCGTGTTTTGCTTTGCTGTAGTAGGTTGTCATCTGCCTTGGTCCTGGAAATCTCCGAAAGCTGATCCATTTTTTATGAGCTTGTGGGAGTGATTGTAGTGAAGGTTTAACGCATGAAGAGACTATTCTTTTTCAAATCTTCTGCGTCCAGCAGTGGAAGTAACAACAGTGCAGTACCACCAAAATCAACAAATAAGCAAAAGGCATGGGATAGTTTTTCAGAGATTGGTGTGAACAATCAGGATTATGGTAAAGCTGAGGATTATTTCCAGAACCCCAAGGGCTTGTTCTCCAAATCTCGAAAACATGTTTCTGATAATCAGAGTTCTTCTGGTGGGCCAGATCTTAGAAGGAGCAGGTCATTGTCATCATCTGCTTGCCAGTTCAGAGATCCAACCAGGTCTCCTTCAAGTGGCATTGTTAGTGATCCATATAATCAATTTGAGCATTCATCTCGGTGAGACTTGATAATCTAACTTTTGAAGCTTGTTATGGACTAAACTGGAGTTTATTCCACGTTGTATTAGTTATATTTTTCACATATTTATTTTTGTTGAACTTTCTATGTGTATAAATCAGTTGTCAGGCTCCTAACTATGAGAAACAAAAGCGGGACAAGCCAACACAAGTTGCAGTGTCTTCTGTTCAAAATTCACACAGATATGAGAGACCTAGGTCTACTAGTTCTTCAAGATCTCATCATGAATCATCTGGGAACTCATCCACTTGTTCCAGCAACATTTCAAGTAAGGTTGTGGATCGTTACATTGATGGAGAGCAGCATCCAGAGGAAAGTAGACCCATGAACAACTCACAGAGAAATAATAGTAGACATGGGAGCTATGGTGTTAAGCTTCCTCCAAAAGTTCAGCTTACAGCACCTAATTCACCGACTCATGAAGTCACAGATAAACCAAGGGTTCATTCATTTAGAGAAGCTAAAGTTACCCGTCTTCGGTTCTCATCCCGAGATTGGTCAGAAAATGGTGTTGGACCAGCATCTCCGAGGAGTCTTGCAAAGAATGTGATTGAGAGACTTTCTCAGTCTTGTGATCTATCCAAGACGTGTTCACAGAATGTTAACGTTGAAAATCCAATCACAATTGAAGATATCTATTCTAGATCTGTGAATGGACACTATGACTCTGATTTTGATTATGCTCAGCCTAAAAATGATTTGTTGGATGAACCCTACAGATTGGCAAATGGCAATCATGGAAATTTAGAGGGCTTAAGCTGTGATGAATCGGAAGAGGATGCGGACGCAGAACTAATAAGAAAATCAAAGGAGGCTGAGGAGAGGGTTATTATTTTTTCAAAGAAACTGGAACGAGAAAGCTTTTTTCCTGATGGTGGTTATGATGTGTCAGCACTGATTCAGACAATCAGACGCCTACTAGAGGAGAAAATAAGCTTGGCTGTAGAAGTTTCAACCCATCTAAGGTCTCAAATTTCTGACAGAATCTTTGCCAGGGAAGAACTTAGCCGTGTAAAGACAGAACTGGAGTATCGGACACAAAGACTAGAAAAAGAAAAGAATGAGATGCAGTCAGCATTGGAGAAGGAATTGGACAGGAGGTCAAATGACTGGTCATTTAAAGTAGAAAAATACCAGTTAGAAGAGCAAAGGCTTCGAGAACGAGTTAGAGAGCTTGCGGAGCAGAATGTATCACTTCAAAGGGAGGTCTCCTCTTTAAGTGAGAGAGAAATGGAAAGCAAAAGTGTGATGGCATATACTGACCAACAACTCAAGGGATTGACAGACAAGTCAGAGATAATGAAAAAGGAGATTCTGGATTTGCAGCAAAATCTCTTGGAACTACAAGAGAAATATAAGGTAGCAGAAGAAAATAGGGATTGTATCCTAAGAAATTTTGAAGAGAAGGAGAAGGAGTGCAAGGAGTTACACAAGTCCCTGACAAGGTTATTAAGAACTTGCAGTGAGCAAGAAAAGACAATAACTGGATTACAAGATGGGTTTAGCGAGGAGCTTCATAAAAACCAGCCCATGGAGAGTGTGGACAAGCACACTGCAAAAATGCGAATGGAGCAAATGAGATTGACAGGAGTGGAACTAGCCTTGAGAAAGGAGTTGGAGTCTTGCAGGTTTGAGGCAGATTCTCTTCGCCATGAGAATATAATACTCTTAAACCGGTTGAAAGGTGACAGGAAAGAATGTGTTGCTGCTACTTTTAGACTAGATAAAGAACTATGGGCCCGCATCTACTGCCTTCAGAATGAAGGCCTAACAATGCTAAATGAAAGCTCATACTTGTGTTCGAGGTTACTGGAATTTGTTAAAGGGAAAGGAAGCCGTCTCCGTCAAAATGTCCAGTTGGATCTTGGAGCGATTGGAAATGGTTTAGATGGGCAATTTATTGTCGAATCTGAAACTAAAATTCAGGGACTCAGAAGTGGTACTGATGGTTTAACAAGGAGTTTACAGACGATGTCTTCTTTGTTGAAAGATAAGTCAAATCCGTTGACTTCTAAATTTCAATCAGAGTGTATAGACGCTGCTAAATTAGCTACACTGAATGATCAATCATCCGAGGTAACTTTCGTTAGGAAGTTTTCTTTAATGGTAGTTTTATGGAGTACATTGTAAATCCACTATTCTACTATCACCTACGTGTTGATTTATTTTAAACCTGTTTTGCATAATTTGTTCATTGTAAATTTATATGGATCATGTTGCTACTTGTATAGGATATTTTAAGAACTGAGCTTAAAGCAGAATGTTTGGTGACAAGTTTATTAAGAGAGAAGCTATACTCTAAAGAGCTCCAAGCTGAGCAGATGGAAGCTGAACTTGCTACAGCAGTAAGAGGAAACGACATACTTAGATGTGAGGTGCAAAATGGCTTGGATAATCTTTCAAGTGTAACCCACAAGTTGAAGGACCTTGAACTTCAGGTCAGTCAAGTCTAACCCGCAGGAGTATTGAAATTTATTTATTAAATTCATCTAATGGATGTTTATACATGGTGGTACTATGTTGTTATTGGCTGTCTTGCGGGTAAATAGCTTTGTAGTTTTTTCATCTGCTATTACTTAAGCCTGCTGACCAATCCCCTGAAAAATTTGTTGAGGCAGATGTTGAAGAAAGATGAGAGTAGAAATTGCCTTCAAAATGATCTGCAGGAATCTAACAGGGAATTGACAATCATGAGGGGAAAATTGCCCAAAGTGACAGAGGAGAGAGATTATATGTGGGAGCAAGTGAAGCAATATAATGAGCAGAATATGCTGTTGAACGCAGAGGTCAATGTATTGAAGAAGAAGATAGAGACACTTGAAGAAAACAACCTCGAGAAGGAAGGTCAAATATCCATCTTGCAAGACTCCCTTGCCAAAAGATCCTTTGATGATCTCCTTGGGAGTCCTGAGCATAAATTTTTCGGTACAAAAATACTATAATAACTTGTTTTCTCATAGGCCTATTTCATTGTTCATAGTTACCAACATCTGTGAATGAGTTTTCTTGTCTTTTTATAATTGTTGCTTTTTTTTTTCTTTTCTTTTTTTAATTTGTTTCACGGCGTTTTTCTTTACATATATATATGTGAAGTGTAAGATCGGACAGAAAAGTTAAAGAGTATAGGGTTCCATTTTCCCCCACTCCTCGGGGAATCAGTGTTCATGTATTTATGGCAAAAAATGTTACTGATCCTTGCATATAGATGAAAATAGATTATTAACCGGTGAGCTCGGGTGTCTGTGCATCTGTGAAATAATTATATGTGGGAGCCAGAAAAGAAAATCATTATTAAATAAATTTTATATTTTGCAAGTTTTTATCCTTATAGTTTGGAGAACTATGAATTAATGATGGATCAAAGAAGAGATAAATAACGTATCATGAACGTGTGAGACTTTACTCTTAATTTTCCTATCAAGAAAAAGTTAGAAAATTAAGTCCCAAACACAAGTTGAAACCATTTAAAATAATTTTTGTTTTTTATATTGATAATGTAAATTTATATGTCTAAATGGCATAAATCAAATCACCTTAAGTATTGGATTTACATATATAAATAAGGTTTAATAGCTAGGTATAAAATATTACACTTAGTTCATAACCTTTGTTAAATTTGGTGAAAGGTTGTTTTAAGATAATTCTTGCTTGGGTTTTTTAAAATAATAATTTTTATTGTAAAATTATAAGAAAAATGTTTTTATTTTGTTTGTAAAAAAAGGAAAATAAAATAGGACGAAGGTCATAATTTGTCATTATAAAATTATAAACATGAAGTTTACTGTAGTAATTAATTTTATACCTAAATAGTTTATTATTGTGGATAAAATGAAATAATAGCCCAAAATAACTTGTTAGCTTTTAATCATCAACTCCACCATTTGATTTACTATAAAACGTTTTTATTGAAAGTATAGTCAAAGATAATTTGAATCCGAAAAGTATTAGCAAATTGATTTTGCAGTGGATTATTTTTTCTGATATCTTAATCTTTAGGGTTAAAAAAACGAGTGAACTCACAAACAACAGGTTAAGTCTAATCATAGTAATGTACTTTGCTACGCACTCAATGAATCTAACCCCAAATTGTGGAAAAAAAGCACTAGATCCTGTGGAGCATGTAGAAGATAAGAAGGCACAGAATTGCTTATTACCACAAAGTCCGAAACTCATGTTTGTATCTACCATCATTGAGGGAATCTAATATGGAAGGTCCCATTTTTCATTTGTACATAGAAATCTCAATATTTTTAAATAAGGTACCACTTCTTGACTGGTCCAGATAAGAACTATAGAGATGCAGCTTTCCAGAAGTCAATTGGCATCCTTTGCTGAAACCAAAGAACAAATGTAAGCACAAGAAAATAGTAAAAATAGTACTAACAAAAGCTGTGCTCAAATAAAAACAAAACCTACCTTGGCAATTGGCATTTTCTCTCTGACTGAATCAACAAATGATAAATCAATATCAGCTACTACAATGCCTGTAGACAAACGATCTGAAAAAGGAACATAAAACCAGCCATGGAATTCATTAAACTTCGGTCTAACTAAAGAAAAATTGGCACTAATAGAAACTACATCAAGCAATGTTTTAGCCATAAAAGAATAGATAAAATTGAATGATGCTATAAAAAACGGAAGTTTTAATGTACAACAAACACGTTATAGCTGAAACCTCCAAGATGGACAGTGAAAGTATCACTAAAAAAATCTACGAAAGAAAATTGAAACAAAATTATGTCTTCTATAACACTCCCTCCTTTGGGAAACTATGGAAGTTCCCATTCCCCCCACTTCTTTTCTCACATGTTTTTAAATTGTAATGAGTTATAAACAATACGTTTCTCTGAGAAGAACAGTTGGGCCTAAATCTTTTAAGAAGTGAATGGTTTCTTAACTTCTGCTAAAGCAAAAAGAAAGAAGAGAAGTAGGACAGAAACTCAATGAATTACGTTTAGTGGACTTTCAAGAGTGAATTAACTCAACAAACATGAGGAACTGTCAAGTTTTTTACCTGGTAATCGGCCAACAATTGTCCCCCATGGGTCGATAATTAATGAGTCACCATAGCTTTCTCTCTTGTCACCATGTTTGCCAGTTTGAGCAGCAGCAATGACCTGCTAATTCATTCATCAAACCACTATATTTGCTCAAATGTAGTTGAAATATCTTGTTTTAATCATTACAAATGCATAAAAACAAAAAGAAAAAAATTTGGAAATTGTAATTAACTAGCAAGAATACACAACACGACACAGTGGTGAAAGAATTTAACGAGTCCAATCCAATGATTATTCTTTAAGCACACTTCAGAAGGAGCTGGTGGAAGTATGGGAGAAGAGGGGGAAGGGCAGTAGTATTATTAGATGCAAAAGTGAATTCTTACATAACATTGAGTCTCAATTGCACGAGCACGAAGGAGAATCTCCCAATGTGCTGCACCTGTCACTGCAGTGAATGCCGAAGGTACCAATAGTACCTGGATGTTGTAAAACAAAAATATTTTAGATTCTAGACAACTAATTTAAGCAGGAAAGTAATATTTCCACTCACTACCTGTGCTTCATGTTGGAAACGTAACAATTGGTATATCTCAGGAAATCTCAAATCATAGCAAACACTGAGGCCCAGACGCCCAATAGGACTGTCTACTGCAACAATATCCTCGCCTGAAGACATCACCAAGATAGATTTTCTCATGAAAACATCATCCTTCATAGCTCATATCATATGTAGTAAGTGTGTTTATCTTCTTTGCCAAACACTCCCCACTCCCCGATTCCCCATAAAAAAAAGGGCTACTGCTGCTCTCCATTTTCAGTAAAAGGAAATGAAGTTAAAAGAACAAAATATCACATACAATTGAAGGAGAAGTAAATAATTGGAAATATAATCAGAATCTCATGACTAATACTAATTGTGTTCTTTTACTTGTTATTTTTAGGAAGAAGATACAGACACACGAAAATTTCAAAACCAGCTTCAGATTTTCAAGAATGAAAGTTCATGACTAAGCAAAACAAAAGGCTCATTAATCTTCAATACTCTACATAAAGAGAGTGTAAATATCCAACCTGGTTCTGTAAAACTACTTTCTTTATATACCCGTCCACCAGGAACATCAACATCAAACCTTCAAATAAAATAAAGTAAAGTAAAAATTAAACATCAATTGTTTATACAACCACAGTGCCACAAACAGAAAGCAGTAAATTTCTCAATTCAGGAGGACATACCACATAAAGTATATATCTAGGAGTTGATAAACAATCATATACATTATTCATAATTGCAAGGGTTATAAATTACTGATCTTACAGGTGTATCTTTCTATAAGAGCTTCTAATTTTCCCGGTGTCATCTACTATAACGTGGGTATTACACAAGTGTTGAGGATCAGATCCTTTTTCTTGAAAGCCTCCAAGCGACAACCAAATGCTGGATTCTCTGCAGTGCATCAGAACATGTAAAATATTCACATTTTTCAAAAAAATGCAGAAAGAACATTGTCACACCCATGACGAGTCTTAAGGTGGATTAAGAACTCAAAAAACCTCAATAAGCTTACTATGTAGTAAACTCTGCTATGGGTGACCTGGTGCCCTCTGGAAACCATTATGTTGGTTCCAAGGATCAAAGGCCCACGGAGAGTAGAAATATGAAGAAAATGAAGAGATGAGTTTAAGTATGACCTGGCCAAAGAGCGGTACTGGTTCATAATTGGTCCATCCAATGGTTGAGCAACACTAACACTGTCCCCATCCTTGGTACCCACATAAGAGAAGGCCTCAGGAAAGCAAAGCAATTTGGCTCCAGCCGAAGCTGCTTCCTTTGCACACCAAACCCAATACACAGCACTGTCAATCAATCAATAGTATAATAACAATAATTCAAAAGAAAAACAGAAAAAGGGGGATATAGAATAGAGGAGGAAAATATGAGAGAAAATAAAGGGAACCCAGAAAAGAAAAGATGGAAAGAAGAAAACTTTGACGAGGCGAGAGCAGGTGGCGAAATTGGCGGCGAGGTCGCTGACGGAGGTCATCTGGGCCGCTGCAACTCGGAGTGAGTTGGGAGAAGGCATGGCCATGGTGGTTGGTGAAAGTGAAAGTGATGATTTGGGAATGGGAGAGGCGAATCCACGAACAGAATGCATATGCATTGCATTACAACATCTTACATCGACCAACCATATTGACTCTCACCATTTCGAATCTTTCCATGTATACTTCGCATCTCCTCGGTCCCACGTAAGTTCCTTTTAATTTTATTTTATTTTAAGATTAAGTATTTTATATTTAAAAAAACAATCAATTAATTCTCAAAATAAATAAAAAAATTGTAAATCAATTTGAGTAAAAGTAAAGAATACTAAAATATCAATATATAGCTTATTTAATTACAACTAAACTCTATTAATTGTCAATTAATTGAAAATCACCATTGCTGTCGTGTTTAAGTTTATTACAATAAAAAAATATTATACTAATAATTTGTAATTGAATAATAATGTTTTTACATCGTGAGTGCGTTTTTTTTTCATAAATTAAAAAGGAATTTACACTTTTATTTTAGTTATTCATGTTTCAAATTTTCCAATTAAATGTATAGTAAATATGTGATTTAAAATAATTTAAATTAATTGTGGATTCTTATTTCTGAAAATATTATTTTATAAATTTGAAATGTCTGATTTTGAATATAACAACTTTTATTACATTTATTAGTTTTTTTTTCAAGACAAGTAAATTTATTTTTACTTGATAATTATTTTTATATTTCTATATATCTTTAACATTAAAATTTCTTGTACTGAATTTTTGATGTTTAATAAAATGACTATATTTCAGTCAAAATAAAAAGAATATTTACAAGTCACAACTTAATAAAACCCTAACAAAAACATATAAACTCAGTATAACAAAAAAAAAACTTATTACAAAATAATACAAAAACTTATATTACAAAAAATGATCTCTTCTAAAAAAACCTTAAAATATCAAACGTTAAATCACCAATAACTTAACTTTATACAAAAAATATTTTTATTGATCTAATTATTAAATTATATTTATATTATTATATGATTATATATGTCAATTTTTTACTAAAATTCAACAATAATACAAAAGATACATTTTAATTTATATGAATAAGACATTATTTGATATGTCTTATTTTTAATACACATAACTGTTTAAATATAGAACTTAATATAAGGTAATTGCATTAAAGAGAAGAGAAATGACGAAGATGTCAAATCAAACACTAAGGAATATATAGCTTTTCCAAGTTGGTCAACCACAAATTTTCCAGTGTGATATTTATGTGCCTGCCTGCCTGCACCTTAATCACAGTTCTGATTTTATACTAATTAATCTACCAACTATATTAGGAGTTCCCTTCTTCCTACATATTTTTGTTTTCTTGCTATTTTTCGCTTTATACTCTCACTCATACACAACCCAAACAATACTTGCTATTTCTTAGATTATGCAATGCAACACATACAATCAACATAGGTAAGAGTTAAGAGGCAACTAGCAAGGTAAGAATTTATCTCCTAACATTTTAAAAAATTCAATCAGAGAAAATTTTAGCATGAATAACAATAATAAGAACACTGCATAAAGATGGACAGAAGTTATTTATGATCTGCAATTCCTATTTACATTACATTCATGGAGCTTGAACTTAAGAAGCAGTGGCCCCTTTGGTGCCATATCAATATTAGCTAAACCATCGTCTTCACTCTCACCTTTTCTACATGAATCCTCCCCCGCTAGCTCAGACCTGGAAATATTTTCACAAGGCACCGTTTGCTGACATCCTTCAATCACAGTTTCAGCATAATAGAACTTGTTCATCATATGGATCTCCTCTAAAGTACTGTGTCGTGCCACGGCTAAAATATCCACCATGGACCGTTTCTTGCATCTCCCTTTACGCCTCCTACATTTATCTTTCACTGCTTTGGATGGAGGCAGTAGTGGACTTCTATTATGAGCATGAGTTGAACTTGGGAGGCTACATGTGTATGCTGGGTGAGATAAATTGGCAGAAATATGACTGCAGTTATGCTGATTTCCCTCTTCATGTGATGAAGGGTGGTTGCTGACTTTGTAGTCACACTCATTTTTAATATTTTGTGGGTGGTAATCATTGAGATTTGGCACTTCAGCTTTGCATGAATCACCTTCTTTATTATTATTATTATTATTATAATTATTATTATTATTATTATTATTATTATCATTTGATGAATGCATCAAGTTGGGACTATCTTTGAGTGGTTCAGTAAGTGAAGTTCGGCGTCCAAGTGGTGGCAACACCTCCTTCTCCCCGAGACCATGTTTAAGACACACTTGCAAGTGGTTCTCATGAAATGGCCAGTTTTGAAGGAAATTTATGTGACGAGAAGCAAGAACATACTGTCTGCAACATAATTTATAATCTATCAGCGATGATGAAGAAAAATAGTCATTTCTTGTCTATTTCCTCTTGTGTTTGTCAACCACTAAACTTAAACAAACCTTCCAAAATCTAACACAGTTTTGATAAAGGGGAAATGCAAAAAAGTTAAAAGCTGTAAGAAAAGAAGTTGATGAACAGAGAATAATGATAAGCTTAAGTTGTGTACTTGTGCTGGAAAGAGGATAAATAACCTACAATCAACGTGTGCTTCACACCTTGTAAGCTCAACATAATGCAATTGAAGAGATCAATCTAAAAATAGAACATGCAATAATGGACGGCATAACATTAAAGGAAAAAAAGTAAAACCTCACTCATGAATTGAAGTGCATAGGAATGTTTATGATAACTATTTCAAGCACATCAGTACCTTATTGAGAAGGGTTTAACACCAGCTACGAAACCTGTTTGTTGTATCAGGGATTGCGGAGCAGCAGGTAGGTTTTGGTTTTGTTGGTGAGACATCATTCAGCACAAATATTGCAACTTTGCAAGTGGATCACCAACTAATCTCTTTAAATTAATATTCAACCAAAAATCCTGAAACCCCAGTTCTTGCGTATGAAAAAAGCTCCATAAAATGACCCCGTGAAATACCCTACGACACACAAAAACAAAAATTAGAGATTCACAACCACAAAATCTGCATGCGGGTACCAAAAAAATGCTCAATTTATGGGAGAAATAAAAAGAAAAAGGGTCAAAAAGTGAAACTCTTAAATGAGTTTTTGAATGAAACAAACGGCAGAGTCCGCTAAACCTTGAAGCTTCAGAGGAAGAGAAAGGGTCATGAGGGTGGCGAGGGAGAGATGGGTAGGGTTTGGGTTTCAAGAAAATGAGTATGGCAAGACGAGAGACACGATTTCAGTGTTTGGAAAGAGAAGAGAGAGAGAGAGAGAAAGCAAGCGAAGCGTGAGGAACTGAATTGTCTGAGAAGAAAGGAGGTTGTATTGTAATGCGGAATGGTCTCTTGGTAGTGTTGTGTTGATTTTTTCTCTCTTACTTTCTTTTTGAAGTCTGCGTTTCATTTGGGTTGGTTTTATTTTTGTTGACTTCATTTAACTATTTCTGACGTCTAATAGTGTAATCAAGGGAGGGTTATTTTGGTTAATTTCAATTGGGTTTGCCTCTGCTGCCATTCACACACTCGAGTTCTGGTACATCAAAATCTCCTTAATAACCTCAAAACAGGGCATCCTCCTGAACTTGGCTTGTCCTAAGCTACGAATGCACCCATCATATCTATTTAAAATAGGAAAAAAGAATGAGATTTACAGAAAATAATTTGGGTCATAGCTGGCAAAGAAGGTATAAATTTGGTCAAGTATAAGGGAAAATTATATATCATATACATGTTGGTTAAAGTATTTTTTTTTTCTTGGTCTATATAGATTTTACAATGTGTGTACAACTGTTTTGTTTCAAGTGTGAATAATTAATTACAACGAAGGGCAGAGGAAATTCCAATGTAGTGCAAATGCTTTGCTTAATTTGCAAATAGCAGATATCTGGCAAGAAGTGACAGAGAGTATCTGCATCCAAAACCAACCTCTGCAGGAGAAAGTACAACCAACAAGAGTCTCAGATTTACCTCTTTAAGAAAACCAAGCCATGAATGAATACCTACGTGTGCTAGATCCCATCCTATATCCTATGCTGATTTTTTATTTCCACACTAGGAGACTTACAGTTTAATCACCTAAACAGTTAGCTGAAGAATAGGCTGAATTTAATAAAGTAGAAACCAGCTTGTCATAAAAGACCTAGAAATCTAGAACAAATGTAGCAAAACTTGGTTCAGTTGAAGCAAGATTTGCATCCAGTCTAGTTGGTCTATATAGTTGTAATGCGTGTGCAACATGGACAAAGTTCTGATATGGAAGTGAAGTCAAGGACTGTGAAAAAAGAGATATATACCAAGTATATTTTCTGTCATCAACTTTAATAATCACATCAAAGCTTAAGCAACGTTTGATTTTTTTTTTTGGGGGTTTAAACCACTTTATTATTTTATATTAAAAGCAATACTGTCTTTGGTACAACTTCGTGTCAGTTGATTCATACGTTTAATGCTAATGTTGTCTCCATTTTAACTTTACCCCAACAGATAGAACATGTTGAAAGCTTTAAAGATTTAAATTTTGCGCTCTGAGAAGTACAGTTCAGGCTTAATGATATTCATGCGGCACATTTTTTTGTTTTCAAATTTTCAATATGCATGTGTGTATTGATTCGTGCAGATAATCATATATTTTGCATGCATGCGTTGAGGACGTGATTTGAAAGTTTTTTCCTTTTGTGTAGTGTTTCTTAGGACATGCGATTTGAGATCTTTAATTCCAAACATTGCCAAAGGGAAGAGATATTGTAAGCATATCCATATACTAACTAGCTTTAATTCTTAGCCTTTTTTACTAGTTTTGTAATGATATTCAAAATCATGTATAAAATATTACTCAACCTCTCGCACCAGCCATCACAAGTGCAATCCTGGTGTGGGTTTCTCAAGTGCTTAGCTATATCAAGGAAAATATATAATTGTACTTGATGCTATAATCTGATGACACTGCATGATATCACAATGCCACATAAACTGTGATAATTAGAGTACAGAAACATGTAATACCAGAGAAATTTTCTTTTCATATACTACATACATATACGCACTCGTTCTATAATGTTTCATCCAGCTGAGAAAGTTTTTCTATTGTGAACCAGATTCTGAAAGTCTCTCTATAATTACATCTTTATACAAAACTAAAAATCAGATAAAAATAAATAAATTTATGCAGAAACAAAATTCAAATTATTATTGCAGCATGATCTGTACTGTACTAGCTAGTGAAATACCTCATGCATGCATGGAATACTCCAAAATATATATATATATATATATATATATATATATATATATATTTATATATATATATATATATATATGTATGTATGTAACTCTAATATCAAATTATGCCAAATCGTTCAACTGGTTACAGAGACTATTGGATTGAAACGTTTTTAATTAATTCCATTTTGGATCCTTTTCTCATCTCATTATCAGTTCAACTCATCATATCTTTGTTTAATTAACTCAATCCATAAACCAGAAACATATATAGCAGAAGGGTAGGACAAACATGGAAATTAAACTCATCAAGCCTCACAATCTTTGAAATTAATCCAAATCTGGGGATTTGAGGTGTTAATCTGAGAGTAGAGCATACAAGAAATTATAGTTTGACAACAAGAGAAAATAGACAAAATATATAAAAAGCATGACAAATTCGTTTTTTTAAGATATAAAGAAATACACTCGTGATTTCATAGGAATTTTTGTTTACATTTTTCTCTAACCTATTACCATTTCATTTTCTTGTCTAACCCTACTATTTTTCTGGGAAAAATTAAGGTGCTCTGACTAATCCAGAGTTCATAGTTTGAATAAAGTTGATTTCGTAGAATTATAACTCAACGCAAAAGTTACAATTTGTTGATTTATCAAACTGGTACAACCTTGAGAATTCCAAAGCAAAATCACTTTTAGTCGAAAGGAACCAAACATAAAATTTTGTATAGAAGAGAGTTCAAGTGAATTAAGGTTTCTCTTCAACCAGTAACCTATTAAATGAAATTCAGATTCTTATACATATACTAAAACTGAAATTTAAACGTCTTATTTTTATGTTATTTGAATAATCAAAATCCAAATAAACACAACCATGAATTGAGACTTATCTTGAACATGGGACCTATTAAAGAAACTCCTAAATTTATTTCTGTAATATGAATTTTTATAAAAACAAAACTATTATTTTAGTTGTTTCATTTTTTTTAATGATTGACCATTTAAATGAAACTCTCCAGATTATTTAACTTGTTATTTCTTAATAACATAAATAATATGATATATTTAATACATTACATTATTATAATGACTAATGATAATAATGTCATTTTTAAATTAACACATAAGATATAAGTACTCTTTTAATGTCTTCTTATAAGAAAAAAATTGTTTGATTTTTTTTTCATGAGTCAATCTAATAAAATGACTCAGAAATTACTTATTTTTCAGAAAAATATATTAATATGACTCAAAATTATTGAAAATTAATAACTTTATTTTGTATGAATACACTTTGAAAATTTTATTTTGTATCTCCAACCAATAAAAATTAAACTAATAAATTAATTTTCACAAAGACATAATTAATCCACAGCATTGCATTAATTTCAAAATTTGTGAGATGGAGTTTATGTTTTGTTCAAACCCTTCCATGTCACCTGTGATTATATATATATATATATATATATATATATATATATATATATATTTATTTATTTATTTATTTCCCGTATTACTGATTAGACTCGTGCACTGATAAATTGATAATCTATATATAGTAATTCGAATTGGGACAAAATCAATTGGTTTATATGGATAAAGGAAATGATGAACTAGTATTTTATAGGTTTTGCTGCAGCAATTTTGGCTGAATCCAAATGTAAATAAGAGTTCCTTAAAACCATTCCAATCCATTAGTTTCTATACAATTTAATGTTGGAGTTACATATATATATATATATATATATATATATATATATTGGAATAGGTTAATGCATGCTTTTTATGACTATTATAGTATTTCATTAGTTAAAGATTCTGTGATGATGATTTCCATTATTTTTTTTCATTATGATTTACTTATTGTTTTCTGATATAAATTTTAGTTGTGTTATGATGATGCCTAGTGTTGCAAAATGTTGAGAAATGCATTTAGAATCTGGTGTAGGAGAAAAGTTTTAATTTGGAGAAAACACTAGTGTAATGCTTTTGTGGCTATGTATATATGTGTAGAAAGAGAGTTTCTCTAGTATTTCATGTACTCCAATGCTTCACTGTTTCTTTATGCATCGTGTTCAATTCCCTTCGTCATGCAGTTATGAGATTATCTTTATACGTTCACCACCTTTCTATATATTAACTGAGATGTAACTTTTTCATTTATCACAACACACATGAGACCCAGCAATAATAAAGGAAGCTAATAAACTTGACATCGATCACACTCACACAGTAAAAGACGTTATAATAATTTTGACAAATACAACATCAATTACATTTAGTACATATTCTCCTTTTTTTTTCTCAGTCCTTCTCTTCACTTCTACATCAGAACTTTGTCACTGTTGCATAGTCACTGCAATTTATTGCAGAATGCTGGGGACTTAGTTACCTCTAAACTGAACTAGATCTTGAGCAACATGGAAATAAAACCATCAACGTTATCCATCAAGTGGAAAAATCTACACTCTCTTATTGATTCTACTTTTTCCTGCTGAGCTTGGACTTTGCATACAGATACCTCTGACTCTTCTCTATATCTTCCATTACAAAGCAAATTGCCTTTGGAATTTGTTTTGCCCTGGCTTATGTATTAAACAATATATACCCAAAACTCAAAATTACATATAGAGTAGAGAGATTGTGAAATTTATAGAGTCCAAATGAAACTAGTTTGCTTGACCAACATATATAATATGTAGCATTCCCTTAGCCAACTATGACCCAATTCATTAATGTAAAGTGCCACATTGTCTCAATTACTATAGATGAATTTGAGGCATAAGAATAGAAGTGATGAGTGCATTTCATGGTCAAGGATACGCCAAATTTAAGAGGATGCCCTGTTTTGTGGTTATTAAAGAGGCTTTCACATGCAACCAAAACTTTAGTTTAGTATGTATAGCAGCAGAACAGAAGCAAACCCAATTAAAATTATTAAATAATAAAAATAACTCCCTCTATTTATTGTACTATTAGAAATAGTTAAAAAGAAGTCAATAACAACAAAACCAACCCAAACGAAAAGGTAGACAAAAAGGTTTACAAAAAGAAAGAAATGAACAACACAGCAATAGCAAGACACCATTCTACAACCTCGTTTTTCTTCTCAGATAGTTCCTCATGCTTTACTTACTCTCTCTCTCTCTCTCTCTCTTCCTCTAACTTGTCTTTCTTTTCAATCGCTCAAATTGTGTTTCTCGTTTCGCCATATTCGTTTTCTTGAAACCCAAACCCTACCCATTTATTTCTCGCCACTGATATGACCCTTTCTCTTCCTCTGAAGCATCAAGATTACCTCACCCTGCCGTTCATTTTCTTCAATAACTCTTTAAGCGTTTCATCTTTTGATCCCTTTTCTTGTTATTCCGCCCATAAATTAAGCATCTTTTGCGTACCCACATGCAGGTTTTGTGGTTGCCAATTACTAATGTTGTTTGTATGTGTCATAGGGCATTGCACCTGGTCATTTTATGGAGTTTTTTCTTCGGCATCTTAAGTGTAGCGTTCCTGTGGTTATAGGGGAAAGCTGGGGTTGCAAAATTTGTGGTTAAATATTAATTTAGAGAGTATAGTTTGGGTTCCGAAGGCAAAGTTGCAGTCTTCCTGGTGAATGATGTCTCAGCAGCAAAATCAAAACGAAAACGAAAACCTACCTTCAGTTCAGCAATCTGGAGCTGATGTTAAACCCTTCTCAATAAGGTATCAATGCGATTGAAAAGTTACTATTTATGCATTACAATTTATGAATTAGATTTTAATTTTTGTCCTCTAATATTATGCCATCCATTATTGCATGTTCTATTTTTAGATTGATCTCTCTTCAATTGCATTATGTTGAGCTTGTATGGTGTCGCACATGTTGATTGTAGACTATTATCATCTTTCCAACACAAGTACACAACTGATGATTATGATTATTCTCTGTACATAAACTCCTTTTCTTGTTTGCTTTTGCCTTTTGCATTTCCCTTTGTGAATACCAAAACTGTAGATTTTGGAGGTTTCTTAAATTTAATTGCTGACAAACACAAGAGGAAATAGACAAACAATAATTATTTTTCTTCATAGGTGATAAATTATAAGTTATGTTGCAGACAATATGTTCTTGCTTGTCGTCACAGAAATATATCTCAAAACTGGCCTTTTGAAGAGAAGCACTTGCAATTGTGTCTTAAAAATGGTCTGAAGGAGAAAGATCTGTTTCCACCACTTGAAGCAAGCAAAGCTTCACACGATGGACCACTCAAAGGTTGTTCCAAAATTCATTCGCCAAATGATGATAATAATAAAGAAGCTGATTCTTGCAATGCCGAAGTGCCACAAGACATTGTTGTTGATGAGTGTAACAACAAAGTCATCAACCACCATTCATCACATGAAGAGGGAAATCACTCAAATCAGTCCAACTGCTGCAATTATTCTGGCGGTTTATCTCCACCAGAAGACGCATGTCCCCTCTCAAGTTCAACCAATGTTCATAAGAACAGTCCACCATTGCCTCTATCCTCCAAGGCAGTGAAATATGCACGCAAAAGGCGCAAAGGGAAATGTAAGAAACGTTCCATGGTGGATATTTTAGCCGTGGCACGCCACAGTACTATAGAGGAAACTGATAGGGATAAACAAGATTTGCTATGCTGAAACTGTGATTGAAGGTCGTGAGCAAACGTTGCTCAGTGAAAATATTTCCAAGGCTGAGGCAGTGGATGAGGATTCATGTAGAAAAAGTAGGAGTGAAGATCGTGTCATGGTGTAGTGTAGCCAATGTTGATATGACATGAACTAGATGATATTTTAACATTAAAATGATATATAGTTCTTTTATTTAGATACCAGATGTTGCAAGTGATCGAAATGATTCTAATACTAACAATTAAAGAATTACAAGTTAAAACAGTTAAGTGATGCTAATAATACCTGACGAAAAGCAAATGTGCCAATTCCTTACACGATCACCCTCTTCATTCTTTTATCCCCTTCCCTCCCATTACTAATATTTTGAGAAAATAAATCAACTGAAAATAATACACATCTAAAGAAATGACAGAAAGACTTTGTTTTCTAGAAACTTAATGACAGAAATGAAGATGTTTTCTCATCACTGATACACCAAACATTAGTTTACAGCAACAACTTACATGAATAAAGAATATATCTCACCACTTCACGCAATGTTCATACAGCGGTATAATGCATCACCCTGGTTCCACATCGCCAATTATGAATAAAATCGTTTAGATACCTCATATAAGATATTAAATATTTTTTCCACTTTTAAACAACCTTAATTTAAATAATTTATGTTTAAATATCCATATTAAAATAAATTTTATTCATAAATAATTTTGTATAAAATATTTTCTTTAAAGATATGCTTAATTCTTTATTTATATTAATTAACACAATATTTATAATTAATATTGTTTATGATATATATATATATATATATATATATATATATATATATATATATGTGTGTGTGTGTGTGTGTGTGAGAAATCAAATAGTATTTTAGGAAAAAATAAATAAGGAAATTTGTATATTTCCTTGTAATCTGCATGCATTTGAATAATTAGGAACAATCCCATAAATCAAGGGATCCTAGCATAAAATAGAGTTATTATATTTTCTAAAATAGTTTAGGTCTCTTGTATATATCTTATATCATCTCTTTGTATTGAAATAATAAAAATCATATTTCAGCTTAATCTATTTTTCAAGATGGTATCGTAGCTTCCGATATAGGAAGCTCTGTCTGCGCTCGATAAACCCTAAGACTGCGACTCGCATTGCTGCTGCATATTTTGTAACCCTAAGACGGCAGCTCGCATTGCTCGCTGCATTTTTCTTAACCCTAAGACGGCAGACCTACATTGTCTGCTGCATTTTTCTTAATCCTAAGACGACATACTCGCATTGTTGCCGCATTTTTCATAATCCTAAGACGACGTACTCGCATTGTTGTTGCATCGCACCTTTTGCTATAATGTCAAGGGAAGAGGAGATAGAAATGGTGAAAACCATTCTTAGTAAGTCTGGAAAAACCTACAGGTATGTGTTCTTTGGCATACTCGGGTAAGTTTCCACCCTCTTTTGGATTAAATGTCTCGGATACGTCTTTTAACCATTATTGGATATTGGACTCGGAGCCACAGATCACATGACACCATTAGCCAAACACTTCTCCACATATTCCCCATGTCCCAAGCAATAAGAAAATTGCCACAACGAGATGGAACCCTTATAACTGCAGCTGGTCAAGGAAATATCCAAATCAATCCTTTAATAACCTTAAAAGACGTTCTCCATGTCCCAAAGTTGTCCACGAACCTAGTGTCTATACAAAAACTTATAAATGATTTGTCATGTAAAGTTATTTTTTCCAATGATCATTGTGTATTTCAGGATAAGGATTCGGAGAGGATGATTGGACATGCTAGAGAATGGAATGACCTTTATTATCTCGAAGATCCAAGTCTCGCCTAAGAAGAATAGAATCTCTCACTCCTTCATATCTCGAATCCTTGATGACCAACAGAGAAAAAATCATGTTTTATCATTGTCGGTTGGGACATCCCTCTTTTGGAGTGATCAAAATTATATTTCCCTCTCTGTTTACCAAGTTAGATGTCGAGAGTCTTCATTGTGAGGTGTGTGAACTTGCTAAGCATATATCTTTTCCAATAAGTAATAGAATTAGCAATTTCCCTTTTTATCTTGTTCATACTGATGTATGGGGACCTTCTAATATTCCAAATGTGTCTAGTACTCGATGGTTTGTCACCTTTATAGATGATCGTACAAGGGTCACTTGGGATTTCCTACTTAAACAAAAATCGAAGTCGGCTCTGTCTTCCTAAACTTCCACTCCATGATAAAAAATCAGCTTGGTGTTAATATTAAGAGGCTTAGGTCGATAATGCCAAAGATTACTTCAATCATGTCCTTAATTCTTTTTGTCAAAAAGAAGGTATAATTCATGAGTCCTCTTGTGTCAAAACACCACAACAGAATGGGGTCGCAGAGAGGAAAAATGGACATCTATTAAATCGGACTCGGGCATTGTTGTTCCAAAAAAGTGTCCCAAAAATTTCTGGGGAAGCCGTCCTTACAACGAACATACCTTATCAATAGACTACCCTCTAGAGTCTTAGGATCAAAAAGCCCTATGGAAGTTTTGTCGTCTTTCTATCCAAATTTGTCTACTACAAATAATCTTAAACCAAGAGTTTTTGGGTGCATCTCATATGTCCATATTCATAGTACAGTATGTGGAGAAAACTTGATCCTAGAGCCTTAAAGTGTGTCTTTGTTGGTTACTCACCCACTCAAAAAGGGTATAAATGCTACCACCCCCATCCAAAAAATTCTTTGTGTCTAGGGATGTTACCTTCAATGAACAAGAGGGCTATTTCCATCAACCTTATCTTCAAGGGGAGAGTTTCGTGGAAGATAAAGAAAGTAGTGATTCTGGTTTTCCCATTCTTCCGGACTTGACATTTGAACCTAAACGAAATCATATTGAAAGTAGTAATTCTGGTTTTCCCATTCTTCCGGACTTGATATTTGAACCTAAACAAGATCAAATTAAGATCAAATTGAAGATCAAATTGAAGTTGTAACAAATGAAACAAGTCAAGGAATTGGTCAAGCAAAGGAAGTTGGTCAAGAAAGTGAAATTAATTGTGAAGCCGATCAAGAAGATGTTGAAACTGGAAAATTTGGTAAGAAGCTCGGTGTACTCAAGGAAGACTAAGGCCATTCCAGGATCAAGCCATGTTCAAGAATCCAACTCGACTCCACAAAAAGAGGTAACAATTTTTTCTCCAACTGTGCAAGGTTGAAATTGAAACCCAAAATGATCCCGACCTCCCAATTGCCATTAGAAAAGGAACAAGAAAATGCACCAAACAGACCACTCTACCCTCTCTCAAATTACCTGTCCTTTAAAAATTTCTCTCCTACCCATAAAACCTTCCTAGTAAACCTAAACACCGTACTTCTACCTAATACCCTATCTCGAGGCATTGTCTCGACGTAAAATGGAGGCAAGCCATGGATGAAGAGATGGAGGCATTGGAGAAAAACAACACTTGGGAGTTAGTCACCTTACCAATAGGAAAGAGGCCAGTTGGATGTAAATGGGTCTATACAGTGAAATACAAGGCCGATGGATCAATTGAGAGATATAAGGCAAGACTAGTTGCCAAAGGGTTCACCCAAACCTATGGAGTTGATTATTTGGAGACCTTTGCTCCGGTTGCCAAAATGAACACAGTTAGGGTGATATTGTCCCTTGCTGCCAATTATGGTTGGAACTTGGAACAATTTGATGTTAAGAATGATTTTCTACATGGAGACCTTGAAGAAGAAATCTATATGGAGATACCTCCGAGATATGGTAAAGATGTTGCTACCAACACTGTTTGCAAGTTGAAAAAGGCATTATATGGGTTAAAACAGTCCCTCCGTGCATGGTTTGACAGGTTTACTAAAGTTATGACAGGTCTGGGTTACAAACAAAGCCAAGGGGACCATACTTTGTTTTTTAAACATTCCAAGTCAGGGGGAGTAACAATATTATTGGTGTATGTGGATGACATAATATTAACTGGAGATAATAAAGAAGAACAACAATTATTGAGTCAATGCTTAGGCAAGGAATTTGAGATCAAGACTTTGGGAAAACTAAAATATTTTTTGGGAATTGAAGTTGCCCACTCCGAGAAAGGGATATTTATATCTCACAGTAAATACATCACCGATTTGCTCAAGGAAACTGGCAAGGCAGCTTGCAAACCCGCTAGTACCCCATTAGAACCAAACCTAAAGCTTGGAAATGCAGAAGAAGATGTTGCTGTTGAAAAAGATATGTACCAAAGATTAGTGGGCAGACTTATATATTTGTCACATACCAGGCCAGATATTGCCTATGCAGTGAGTTTAATTAGCCAATTTATGCATAGCCCAAAGGAGACCCATTTACAAGCTGCCCACAAAATTTTACAGTACCTTAAAGGAACTCCAGGAAAAGGGATTCTATTCAAAAGGAATGGTAATGTGAAACTTGAAGCCTATACTATTGTGGATAGGAGGTCAACTACAGGATATTGCACCTTTCTTGGAGGAAATCTTGTGACTTGGAGAAGCAAAAAGCAGGGTGTAGTGGCTCGGTCCAGTCGTTGAGCAGAATTCGAGCCATGGCATAAGGTATATGTGAGTTGCTATGACTTAAAATCATCTTAGAAGACTTGAGGATAAAGTGGGAAGAACCTATGAAGCTCAATTGTGATAATAAGTCAGCGAATCAGTATAGCCCACAACCCAGGTGCAGCATGATAGAACAAAGCATATTGAAGTAGACAGACACTTCATCAAAGAAAAGCTTGATAGTGGCTTAATATGCACTCCATATGTGTCCTCTCAAGACCAAATTGCAGACATTCTTACCAAGGGACTCGGGCTACCATAATTTTGAGAAGATTGTATCCAAGTCGGGAATGGAAAACATCTATTCACCAAGCTTGAGGGGAGTGTGAGAAATCAAATAGTATTTTAGGAAAGAATAAATAAGGAAATTTGTATATTTCCTTGTAATCTGTCATAGATTTGAATAATTAGGAACAATCCCATAAATCAAGGGATCCTAGCATAAAATAGAGTTATTATATTTCCTAAAATAGTTTAGGTCTCTTGTATATATCTTATATCATCTCTTTGTATTGAAATAATAAAAATCATATTTCAGTTAATCTA